TTCCTGGATCTTTCCAACACAGGCATGCTCTTTAAGTAATATCCAAGCACATGCTCCTTGCCTGCCAGTCTGGGTACAAAGGGTTGTACAAAGCAATATGCAGATGCTCCAGCAGGAAGCTGGTCCCTAGGCACAGAGACCACACTGTCACTCGGTAAGGGGCAGTGAGAGGATGAGAATAGGAGCTCTGAGAGCGAGTGGAAGAGTGAGATAATTTACCCAATTGGTTTTCCTGGAAATGAAGGCGTTATGTCCAGAATTAGTAATAAAACTAACTGAGGCATTCACACCTGGTTCCATAAAATGCTTAATCACCTTGTTGTTCTGTAACAGCTTTCTCTTAATGGGGGAACTCATGGGCTTTTTAATTTCCTTTATTTGATTAGCGTTAGAATTCATAGCTACAGCCTGTGTTGGGCTCCAGCAAAATGTTGTATTTGCAAACGTATTTAAAGAGATAGAGTTGTTTTCAGGGCCTCATCTGTTAATAGTTTCAAGCCTTAAGTAGCAGATCATGCTTTTAAAGTTTTCTTGTGGAGGTAAAAAAGGGAATCTATAATTACTTACAGAGGATGAACACCACAATAAATAGTCATCATGGCTCCAAGACATTTTTATGAAGGAAAATACTGTACATTATTACAATCTATGTTTTTCTGAGTTCAGATCCCTTTCCCCCATTTATAATGTTTATTAAAAATAAACACAATGGTTATCTTTCTTTTAAAAATAGCTTAATGATGATTTTTCCCAAATTACAGTGGTTTGAATCTACTCCTAAGAAGCAATCAGCACTCTGGATGTGTGACAGGTCTTCGGGTTCTATCTCAAGTCCTGTGAGCAGAAGCTGGGAGGCAGGTGGTTGAGCCCAAGCAGGCCTGGCAAACACTTGTGAGTAGATTCAAGGTGATGGGGAAAATGGGGCTCCAGAGACAGCACCTTCCACTCAGCCCAGCACCCCTCATCCCCGATTTTCAGGATTCTAAGTATTTTTTTTAAAATATATATTTTATTGATTTTTTTTACAGAGAGGAAGGGAGAGGGAGAGAGAGAGTTAGAAACATCGATGAGAGAGAAACATCAATCAGCTGCCTACTGCACACTTCCTACTGGGGAGGTGCCCACAACCAAGGTACATGCCCTTGACCAGGCTCGAGCATGGGACCTTTGAGTCCAAAGGCCGACGCTCTATCCACTGAACCAAACCAGTTAGGGCAGGATTCTCAGTCTTAATGCTATCTCCACCTACCTGCCTTTGTTCACCCTAGCTCTCTTAAAGGCCTTATTTTCTTCTGCTCTTATCCATGGGGTGTTTCCCACAGCACATCTAGAATCCTGCAGATATGAGGTGCAGTTTTAACTAGTCTGCATCAGTATAAGGGGAATTTAAAAAATGACACATCCAATAAGATTTCTGTTAAACTTGTTTTATTTTGAAATTATTATGACCTTCCTTCCTTTTCCTTCTTCCTTCCTTTTTGTTGCTAAGTTATCCCTGCTTTTAGGAAAGAGTGATGGCAGTTATGTTTGTTTCGTTAATGTCTCTAGTTCAGAAAATAAGTGTTGCTTTCCCAAGGTTGGTCACTCCGTGTTTGTGTGTTGCGTGCACATCCATACCTGTGTTCAAGCCCGGTGATCTGTGAGGCCCCAAACACTTTGGAGCCATGATGTCGTTTTTGACTGTCTCAGGAGACTGCATCCTGTTCCGGGAACAACCTGGCGCAGAGAAAAGGCTTTGGAGTTGCACAGACAGGATCCGATCCTTGTGCACCTGGGCCAGCACTAAACTCTCTGAGCTTCAGCTTCCTTTCCCAGGTAACTGGGGTGATAACAGCTACCGCAGAGAGCTCTCAGAAGATGAAAGCTGCTAGCATAATGCAGGATACACAGTGAGTGCTCAAACAGTGCGTGTTTCCTGGCCTCCTGAGCTTCTTTTCTCTCCCTTACTGAGCACCTGAAGATTAGATGAAAAGTGCTCCATGCGCACGTCAGAAGTAAGAAAATGCAAGAGTCTGACACTAGCAAGTGTCCACAGGTAGAAAGTTAAGTGTGGGAAGCACTAGCAGAGAGCCTGGCTTGAAACTGCAGACCTGGGTAGGGTTGGTTCAAGAAGACACCCTCCAGGACTAAGGTAAGCTTTGAAAGTCATCCATCACATGTGGAGAATGAAGGCTCTTTGGAAGGGATGGGATACTGAGGAGCATCTGAGCTTAGGTTCTGCAAAGTGTGGGACCTACCCCACCAGGGATCTAAGAGATGTATGTGATTCACAGACACTAAAAAACATGTAACGACACAAGGAGAGTTATTCCCCGTCCAGGTCTTATCATCCTGAAATATTAAGAAGAAAGTCTCTGTTTGTGCCAGACTATCTTTAAGACTTCTATAACATGCGGTACGAACCTAATTTAACAAAGAAAGTCAGGCTGCAGGAACATAGCCATCAGGCGGCAAGAATAGCTAGATGATTAAAAATAATGTTTCCTTCTCATTGTCTTTATTTTTCCTATTCCCTTCTATTTATATTTTTTTCCATTTACATTGGTGACATCAAGCTTTTCAAGTAGACTTAAATTTTAAAGGGGAGCACATTTAAAATATGAAGGTAATCATGAAATAGCTGGGACATAGCGGCCCTATAATTAGTGACACTTAGGAAACACTGATCTAGCACATTCCTTTTTAAAGAAAGCAGATGAGGAAACGAGCTCAGAGAAATGAAGGTCCTCCTTTCCAATATTACAGAGCTGGCTGACCTGAGACTGAAGCTCAGTCCTTTTGTACCCCTCCTCAACTATCAGACAACAAATTCTGTGTTAGCCGAAACCGGTTTGGCTCAATGGATAGAGCGTTGGCCTGCGGACTGAAAGGTCCCGGGTTCGATTCCGGTCAAGGGCATGTACATTGGTTGCAGGCACATCCCCAGTGGGGGGTGTGCAAGAGGCAGCTGGTCGATGTATCTCTCTCATCGATGTTTCTAGCTCTCTGTCCCTCTCAATTCCTCTCTGTGTAAAAATCAATAAAATATATTGAAAAAACAAACAAACAAACAAAAAACACAACAAATTCTGTGTTAAATCCAAGGCAACGGGATACAAATAAACTGTTGACTATGTGCTGTGGGTTTGAGGAAGGAACCAGTTGGTGAGGCTGGTGTGTGTGATAGTGAGGCTTGGAGAAGACAAAGACATGTATCAAAGCCGATACTGCAGGTCTGAGCTCCTCATCAAGTCGAAGGCATGTCCTGGGGGCACCACGCAAAGTCTCAGAGTTGGCCCCAAAGGCGGTGGTGGCAGAGACTCCTCTTGGAATCCAGCAAAGAAGGCCGGAATCCCAACGTCTCTATTTGTCAAGAAACCAGTGAACATATCTCAACTCATCTGTGCTCTTTGCTCATCCATAAAAATTTATAGGAACGATGACAGCACACATTTATTGGGCACATCATCTGCCAAGCCCCGTTGATGCATTCTCTCTCTTAACCCTCAAAAGACCACTAGACGGCAGTTACTATCTGGGTATGACAGATGAGGACATTTGGACTCTGAATGATTATCGCGCTTCCCAGCCACTTTATAGCTAAACAAGCGATGGAGTAGGATTCAAACTCCAGCACTTTCAGTCCAGAGTCTGTCCTTTTAACCGCCCTCCTAAGCTGTGGATATTAAATGCAGAGGAGGTTTGTAAAGCACCTAGCACAGTGCAGGGCACATAGAAGGGAGGGGTGTCAGCACCTTCCTGCCCGCCCTCTCTGCGCACACCACAGCGCCAGCCACTTTCAGCCTGGCATCTAGAGCTTGCTCCTTGGTCAGGCCATTCCTCAGACAGGACAGTCTCCCAGGAGATGGGAGGTAGAGACCAGGCTGGGGTGGAGGGAAACATGGTGTGAGGCTCATTTTTCTTTTTCTTTTTTTTAATTTACATTCCTTCCTCATTTTAAATTCCTTCCCCACCCGCCCCCTATATTTTTGTATAATCTCTCCTCCCCTCCCCCTCCCCAACCTGAAGGTAACGGAAAACGTTACTACTTCTTGCCTGGGACTACAACTCCCAGAATGCATCAGGCAGAGAAGCTGGCCAATCAGGAAGCCCTCTCCCTTTCAGGGCCGCTCGCCCCACCCCTCTAGGGGTCAGAGCCGCAGTGACCCTGGGCCTGGTGGGCTGTGAGGTGTGCCAGGTTGTGGGCAGGCCAGGGTTCCCGGGTTTTAGGTCACCCTAATCCGGTGTGGGGCTTGGGGCCGGGACGGTGGAGGCTGTTGAAATGTCCAGGCTAACCTAGGGTCCATCTTCAGGGCCGGGACTAGTGTCCATGGCGGCGGAGCCCCTGGTGGGTGGTTGCGTGGGGTAGGGTGGTTGGCGGCCCAGACCGGCAGGGCCAGGGGTTGTCCGCAGGGTCACGTGAAGGCGGTTCACGGGGTCCCTGTTGTCCCCATCCGTTTGCCTAGGGCTCCCAAAAGCCAGGGGTCCTCGAGGGTGTCAGTTGGGCCGAGAAGCAGAAGGAAGAGGGGGAGGGGGAGGGGGAGGGGGAGGAGTAGGTGGTGGTTAGAATGCAGGTGCGGGCCTAAGTGTGTCTGCCTCCAGCCAAGGGATTGGTACCTGTGTGTAGGTGTCTGGCCTCATCACACGCTTCCCTCTGCCGAGTCCTGTCTCCACCTCCCACCTCCTGGGAAGACTGCCCACTTCTCCTGACAGGAATGGCCTGACAAGCTCCCAGGGAGGCTGAGGCAGCCCCGCCTCCATCCAGTGAAGCGGGGTCTCCTCGCAGTTCTGCACGCTGACCCCACCCATCGACCCACCCATGGGTCAACTTTCTTGGGCATTTCACTGTCCATTTAGTGAAATCTAGTTCCTCCTTGTTCTTTTTTTTTTTCTTTTTTTTCAATTTACACTCATTCTTCACTTTTAAAGTTAATTTCACTACCCCCAACCACCCCCTATGTTTTTGTATAATCTCTCCTTTCCCCCTCGGACCCGAATCCTTCGGTTTGCCATCCCCAAGATACAGCTGCCATTCCAGCTGTGGCACGCAGGGGCTTGTGGGTGGATGCCACGTGTGTTTTATTCGTTGTCCTGAAAACTAAAATGTTGCTTCCTTTGCAGTGGCTCTGCAGTGAGCGTGAGGAATCGGATAAATCCCTCTGACTCAGGGAAAGGAGGAGGCAAAGAAATAACTGTTTTCAAAGACCTCTAACCGCCCACCTTGCAACGTTGCTGGCGTGGGGTGTGCTGACTGCTGACTGCGGCTTCTTTTTCAAGTGTTTTTGAGAGATTTGAATGGCTCAGGTTAGTTTGGTTTCCAGTGACCCACCTACGTTTTTGTTTCTGGCTCAATTCTTTAAATATATGTGCTGCATACATAACAGTAACATGTTGATTTATGGATTTCACTCAACCAATATTCAGAGGTGGAATTAGGTTGCCCTGATTTCCTTTGCTAAGATAAAAGTAATTATTTTGCTGTCCTCTTAGTCAATGAATTATAATTGAATCTTATTTTGAATTTTACTATCTCTTTAAAAAAAATTTCCGGGGATCTTGTCACTCAAGAATAAGTTAGAAAAAATAAGAAGTTAGAAGAAGATAGTGACTTCCATGTAAACAATGATGGCTCAGGTGTCAAGGAGTTTATGAGTGTGTAGGCTTGCTGAGAAGGGGATGTCTGTATTTCCCCTTTAAGGGCTCCATCTTGTGGAAATGGTTTGATTAAAGAAGAAACTTCATCCTAAGATTTCCAGTTAGAGGTGTTTTGAGTTGAGAAAATCTATAATAAAAGTGTAATATGCTAATTAGACCAGACAGTCGAACGACCTTCTGGACGTCATTCGAGATGTCCTTCCAGATGAAACCGAAGCAGCAGGGGCCGAGGCAGAGGTGGTTAGGGGTGATCAGGCAGGCAGGCAAGCAGTTATGGGCAATCAGGCAGGCAGGCAGAGGGTTAGGGGCAATCAGGCAGGCAGAGGGGTTAGGAGCAATCAGGTAGGCAGGCAGGTGGTTAGGGGGAGATCAGGCAGGCAGGCAAATGGTTAGGGGGGATCAGACAGGCAGGCAAAGTGGTTAGGGGCAATCAGGCAGGCAGAATGATTAGGGGAGATCAGTCAGGCACAATGGTTAAGGGCAATTAGGCAGGCGAGTGGTTAGGGGTGATCAGGCAGGCAGGAAGGCAAGCGGTTAGGAGCCAGCAGTCCCAGATTGCAGAGAACCGTGCAGGATGGAGCCTAAACCAGCAGACAGACATCCCTCTAAGGGTCCCTGATTGCAAGAGGGTGCAGGTCGGACTGAGCGACGCCCCCCCCCCTTCCCTGAACAAATTTCATACACTGGACCTCTAGTATTAGCATAATAAGTTGATATCTTTTTATGTTAGAATTCTAACTATTTATAAAGACTACTATTTCACAATTACTTGTTCTGAAATAATAGGTTTTCCTTTTAGAAGTATTAAAAATTTAAGTATTTTAATAACATATAAATGTGTCTGATTTTATACTGTTTTTATTTCTCTTTTAAAATCAGATGTTGAACAGTGATGTTTCTGACCATGGGCTAAATGTGGAAGCCATAATTAAAAATATTAATACAATTTCTTTGGAGTTGAAGAAGATGAAAGGTAAGTATGGAATCACTAAAATAAAATGTTTGCATGTCATTGTTATAAAATAAATAGTAGAGCCATTTTGGCTTCTGATGGGGTGTTAGTGACCTTTGCCCACTATTTAGGACTTTTTTGTTTAAGAAATGCTTACATTATAGTGTGAACTAGATCTCTAAAGATGAATTATGTTTAAGCATTGAACTTGGAGTTAGCTGGCTTGAATTCCCATCCTTGACACTAACAAGCTTATGATAGTCTAACCTCTCTAAATTACTGCCTTTTTTCCTTTCAACAAACTATTAAATGACAGTGTCACATTCTACAAAATTCAGTGTCTTTATCCATTAATCCTTTCTAAGCCCCTAAGGTTCCTTACAAATTAAAAATTAGAAGTGTGTTTGATTCTGTGAGTTAAGGGCTCTTCATTTTAAACAGACTCATAGAGTTGGATTCGACCTCACAGGGCACAATGTTTGGGCACTCACCTCACAGACATGTCCTGTTTTAGCCCAGGCATGTGAAATTTCCATGACTGAGCATTTCTGGGGGTAGTCTTTCCCTGACCAAACTTTCCCCGTGTCAGGGAACTCCCTGTCCCACCAGTCACCCTGTTCCATTTTAAGATTGCTGCTCCTTATGGACTAGCTGCAACCTGTTCCCCATTCCTTCACCTGCTGGTCCTACTTCTAACCATGAAAACTACATAAATTATGTAGTTCTTTTCACAACTCTTGGATATTTGAAGGCAGCCTTTTGTCAGTTATGAGGCCTTCAGCTACATGTGAAAAAATACCAACTTATCATGCTTATATCTAAAGAAAAGAACAAGAAGATCCAAGGTGGGGCAGCCGAGAATGGATTCAGTTTTAGAAACTTCATCGGATACTAGGTTCCTTCTCTTTTTTCTCTGTTATATTCACTCTGCTCATTACTCCTCATGGTCATTACCTGTAGACTTGGCCAGACACTGCCTCTACCTCTTCTCTTTACATAAGCCTTTCCCAGATCCCGCCAGCACATTTCCCCTTTTCTGTCATTGACCAGATATGCATCAAAGGCAACTGTCGGCAGCAGCTGCTGCTGCCAAGGGGTAGGGGTCTGCCAAGACCAGTGTGGACCAGTCAGAACTTCCTGCTGAGGCTGAGGAGGAGAGGACGGGCACACGTGGAGGCAGAGTGTGCCACCAAGAAGAGGAGGAAGGTGGCTGTTAGTTAGGACCAGATAGTGAGTCTGTTATGCTATTTCCACCTGTTCCTCCCAGAGCAGCATCTCCCACACTTTGCTCTGTGAACCCTGCTGTCCTAAGAGATGCTAATAGATGGGTGCAGTAGCAGCGGATTCCACAGTCTTCCGGGACTTAAGTTTGGGAAGTGCAAAATGCTCTGTATTTCACAAATTTACAGTATACATTAGCAAAGGCACCGAGGAGTCCGATGTAAAGAAGTCTGGTTAGCTTTGTTTAATTCATTCTAAAACCAATCTCAATTTACAGCGAGGATTATCTTCTAACATGTAAATATGCTGAAAACTCCCATTGGTTCACTTGTCCTCCCTGAATGGACTATAAGACCTTTTGAGACCAGGCCCCAGCCCATCCAATCTCTCGTCTCGTTATTTCCCCCCTGCATGTACTGTGCTCCTCCCATGCTGAACTGTGTGCATCTCTACACACGTGTGCTTTTTTTTAAAAAAAAAAAAATCTGTGTTTTAACACATGCATCTCCTTCTGAAATGCCCACTGCTGCACCCCCACTTCCACCCCCCAGGTTAGCTGCTATTTACTACACTGTGTTAGTCAAGACTAAGTAGGTTGGAAAACTTCCTTTAAGCCAGCGTGTTACCTCTTCTACTTTTTCATACCATCTACCACACTGTGTTGTAATTGCATGTTTACTTCCTTTCCCTGTCCCTGCTCAACTGGAAGCTTTTAAAGGTATTCCTAGCAGTTAACAGTGCCTTGATATAATGGTTCATGGAAAATGTTTACTTAATGAACAATTGGTTCTGGGTGCTTGCACTTTTAAAAAATTCTTCCCACACTTGATTATCTAACTGTTGTAGATAATCCTTTCATGAGGTAAATTAGAAATAATAAACAATGATATGCATGTCCTGAAAAGTTGTGGGGTAGGTCAGACAGCTAGGATACAAGGGCTTAATGTAGACCTGTAGGACGGTAGGCTTCTGGTAAACATTGAAGATTAAATAAACACTCTGTTTACCCTACTCTCCCCCCAAATAATAATGTCAATAAATAATCATAACATTTACCATAATCCAGATATCTTTCTAAAAGCTTTATATAAGTGGTAGGAAATATTACCATTGGCATTTATAGGTACAGAAACAGACATGGAGACATTAACTAACTTTCCCGAGGACAGATATCTAATCATTGGTAGACATGAGAGTTAAAGTGATGTCATACAGACAAAAATTAATAAGACAAAGAGCTCTCAAAAAGTGTTAACTACAAACAGAGGTATTTAAACCCTGAAGTCCAAAAATCGAAACTGTGAACTGGCTGGGTAAAGCAAAGAAATAGCCCAAAGACAACACACGGTTGTACCAGGATCCTCTGGAAGTAGTGGGGGAGGGAGGAGGAGGGGGAGCTAAGAACAGGGGACTGGTTAAATGTTTAAGAAGTCATAAGCCCCTAAGGTCGTCTCCTCTACAGCACCGGGCAGCTGTTTCTCTGTGACAGAGATGCGAGGCTTATTCCATGAGAGGGTAAAACCAGGGTCCCTGGCCTGCAGCCACTGGTCACAAGCCAAGGGGGAAAGTACTGTACTAAAAATGAGGGTATTAAGGCCAAATTGACCTCTAGCTTTCTCTTGCCACTTGCCTATAAAACACCAGAAGCCTGATTTATACCCTTGAGCAGATTTTTCATCCAGGAATATGACCACCCTAAGAGAAAAGACCTAAAAAGACTGATAGCACAGGTTTCCCCATGAGCCACCCAATCAGACCAGCCTACAATATCGCCTACCATGGCCTTTATAGTCTTTATAGTACCATGGCCTCAAATATGAGAAAACAGATGTGGCACAGACATATGAGGAAAGCATCTACTATAAAAAATAGAGACAATAAATAGATTCAATCAAGGAGGAAGAAAAACAAATTATGAAGGGAAATAAGAACTCCAAGAAACTATAATATCCACAGAGGAGATGCTATGTCTATGAAAAGGAATATGAAACTACAAAAAATATTTAGAGAACAGAGGGAGTTCTTGGAAATTAAAAATGCTATAATAGAAATAGACTCTGTAGAGGGTTAAAGATAAAAATGAAGAAAATACCCTAGAATATAAAGAAAAGAAAAAGTTTTAGGGGGGATATGACAAACCAGGCAAAATGAAGTCCAATATCCAGTAAATAGGAGTGTTAGAACATAGACAATGGACAAGGAGAAATTCATTAAAGAAACAGTCTGAGGAACTCCTCCAGAGTTGAAGGGTATGAGTTTTTACAGTGAAACAGCCCAACATAATGGGTGAAAATCAGTGCACACCAAAATACGGTACTGAGGCTTCAAAACACTGGGAGAACAAAAGATCCTCCAAGCTTCTAAAGAGAAACGAGAAGCCTGAAATATCTCAATAGTGACACTGGGAGCTGGAAGAAAATGCAAAAGCACCCTTGGACATCTGAAGAAACATGATTTCCAACCTATATTTCTCTATTCGGTGTAGAGAGAGAACTTCTCAGACATAGTTTTCCCCCTCAGGAAGTTACTAAGGTTGTATTCCACCCAACAAGGATGCAGACCAAACAGAGAAAGAAGTGAGATTCTGGAGAAAGGATGCTCCACATGAGGGAGGATGAAGGGAGTCCCTAGGATAATGGTGAAGGGAGCTCCCAGGATGCGAGCTGTGCAGTGGTCCAGGAGGGCCTTGGTCCAGTCTAGAACAGGTCAGAAGGCTCTGGAGAGGAGAGACTTTCAACTGAAGAATAGGTAAGCGTTTGTACTAGGAGAGGAGATTTACCCAACTGGAGGGCATTTGAGATATGTTCATGTGATTAAGCAATGAAAAAAGAAATTAACTGTGGCTGGGTGATAACTTAAAGGAAGGGAAATATCATAAGACTCAACTGTGAAGAATATTTATATAATGAAAAAATTTAAGCATTAAATACTGAGAAAAAATTGTATTCAAGTATATTGGAGATGGCATGAATAAAAAGTTATCTCTTAATCTTCTGTAATCAGAAGCAGATAGGTAATACTTGTAATCTTGTTATTTAGAAATATGGAGGTAATTCCAGCCCCCACCTCAAAAGAAAAAAGAAAAAACTATAGAACTCCACAGACACAAAACAACAAAAGCAAAAAACAAAATGAGCTCCAAAAGTTAGAAGTGATTGCTTTTGGGAGGTAAAGCTGTTAGTTGTGTAACATGCCTTATAGACCTATTTGATTCTTTATACTATGTGCATGAAGAACACACAAAATTGATTAGTTTAAAAAGTGTAAATAAAATTTGCATAAATCAACTTGCAGTTCAGTAAGATAGCTGACAATTTGGGCTAAAAAGCCCTTCTAGTAAACTTTTGTCATGCTTATTTTATAGTATAGAAATTTGACTTGAAGTTACAATAAGCACACCTAAATTGTGGTTTGATCAATAATTACTTAAAAGAAAACTAAATCAAGAATTGGGCAATAGCTACTGAAAGCAACAATAGTTGTCTAGGACTTGTGTGCTACAATATGATCCCTTCTGTTATGTTTTACACAGAGCACTCCCAGTTACTGCTTTGTGACCTTACTCTACATTTTAATCACCCTGTGAAGACGGATGACTTCAAGGAAACAGAAAGAAGCAAGCCCCTCTTTGAAGAGTTTAAACTATCAGATGTATCCCTTGCTTCTAGCCGTTTTTCTTCCTAATTTCTTACTTATCTGTTGTGAATTTATAACTGTATGTAGTGTTGAATTAACAAGTATCTTGGAGAACTGAGTTTACTAATATATTTAATATAATAAAATAAACTGAGTTACAAATAATCATTTTATGTTCCTGAAGGCTGTGGCATTATTGTTTTAATATTTCAAAGAATGGCTAATCTGTTTCACTAATGGCAAGGGTATGACATGGGAAATTGGCCATGTGACTCTCATCATTTACCTTATGCTTGATCTTGGCTCAGGCTGAAGGAGGGTCACTAAATTATAAATGGGTGGTATGAATTTATGTTAATAAGATGTCTCCTGGTAGCAGGTGCCCAAAACAACTCAAGCTAACTGAAGCATGTATTGGATCATGTGACTTGGAAATCCATGGTGGGAGTAGATGTCAAGGACTCTGGTAATTTACCAGATGTCTCTGTCCTGGTTCTGTTTCTGTGCATCAGTCTCATCCTCTCCTGTTATGGACTGATTTCCTCCACAAGACAAAGGAGGGTAGAGGCATGGCAGCAGACAACTCCAGGTATGCAGACCACTCCGGGTGTGCAAATCCCTGAAGGAGAGAGACCCTCTAACTCAGCCTTTGTGTTTAGCATTCCAGGGAAGGATGCCAGCTTTGATTAAGATTCTTATTCCTAAGCAACGTCCTAAGCAACTGTGATTGGCGAGGCTGGGTCACATGCCAGGTCTGTGGCCAAAGGAGGAGAGGCCCTACCAGAACAGTGGAGTTGCCGTTGCCTGAAGAAGGGGAGGAAGAATGCTAGTCATGAAAACATCAGGTACTCACCGCTGATTTCAGTCATAGCCATGGGATAGCTTTTAGTTTTATACTATCTTTACTCTAAACTTCCTTACTTTGTCCCTTTCCACCAAAGAAGTCTTAAAATAATAGGTTTTGGTTTATCATGTAAACATGATTCACTACCAAACAGTTGCTTTAAAATCTACCATGTCCTTCATTTTAGACTAGAGGCCTAATTTGTGCATGGGTGGGGTCCACCCCACCTGCCCTGATGGGGGCTGATCAGGGCCAGACCAGCGGGGCGGAGGGGACACAGGAGGTCGGCGGGCCCCGTCCCAAATAGGGGGGCCAATTGAGGGCAGGGCTGCTGGAGGGGAAGGGCTGCAGACAGTTGGCTGGCTGGCCCTGCCCTCAATCAGGATGGGAGGCCAATTGGGGGTGGGGCCAGCCAGGAGGAGGGGCCATGGGAGGCTGTGGGGGGCCGAATAGGACCCCAATTGGGCAGGTTGGCCGCTATGAGTCATAGCAACTGGTAGTTCCGGTCATTTTAGTCTTTCTGGCATTCTAGTCGCTTGGCTTTTATATCTATAACTATATATCGATATCTCTATCTATATATATAAAAGCCAAGTGACCAAATTACAGAATGACCAGAACAACTGGTGGCTATGATGTGCACTGCGGCAGCCAACTAGCCCAATCAGGAGCAGGGCCGACTAGCCAACCACCCATAGCCCCTCCCCCTGATGGCCCCACCCCTGCTGACCTTCAGTGATTCTAAGTAAATGTTCTCCAGCCTTCATAGACCAGGAACCTGAATGATGAGTGATTGGGAGGAAAACTGCTCATGGTCTGGACCATCAGTCAGGTGTCCAGGAGAGGTGCCCAGCACAACCACCATCTTCCTGCATTCTCTCTCCACTGCTTACTACTACAGAGGGCAGCCACATAACACCATCGCCTCTCCTTAGAGGGCTTGTCAGCAGGAAACTAAACCACATTACCTGTCTAGGGAGAGGCTTACAAACCGAAGCTGTAAATGTCCCTGACACTAAAGTGCCTTTGAAGCTTCAACTCATCCAAAAGCCAATAGCAAATGTGAATACACCCTGAAAAAGTCTTTGACTCTAATAACTACCCCCAGCCGGCCTTACCCCCAATCGCCCTCCCACCTCACCCCACCAATGCATGAATTCATGCACCAGGACTCTAGTTTTTTAATATAAAGGATAGATAGATTACTATGAAGCAAGACACAAAGTCAGCTCACTCCATAATAGAACTTATATGGTTGCTAGACGCATTCAGTATTTAACACAAAGCAGGCACTGAATAAATGCTTGTTGAATAGCCTATTGAATAAACATGTAAATAAGTGCAGGTCTTTCAGCTTTAAAACTCTCATGTTCTGGTCCCTAAATTGAGAACTTTGGCTTGTAAGGACGATGTTTTGAGAAACATCATTTTTATCATCATTGGTTAAAAGTATGCACACACTCATCGTAACAAAGTGTCAGCTTTAACCCGGCGACCCTCTTAATCCCTTCTATGTTCTATTAGCTCATGAAATGAAGTTGCAAGATATTCTTTGCCACTCGGAAAACATGTAGATTAAGCAGAGAAGCAAACAATTTTTCTTAGTACAGGTTGTGGAAGAATAACCAAGGGTCCAAAAGGCAAAACTTGAAGAACCACTGAATGCCAGGTTTTTGTTTTGCAAAATGCCTACTGCTTGTTAAGTGAGATATGTTAGCAAAGGAAAGAGCTGCATTCCTTTGCAGAATTTATAAAGCTCTTATGGGAAGGATGAGGGAAAGGTCTTTATGACAGTTGGCAGGGGGATAAGAAGAGGTGGAAGAAAGTTTATCTGGCCAGAAATTTTTCTGTGTATATTCATTGCTTTTTTATCTTCCTTGGAAGACTTTGGTAAAATTTACAACCAAATCCTTGACATCTGTTCCTACCATTTACTTCCAAGTCACCCAATGACCCAATACATGCTTCTTTATACTTAAATCCAAATGTATTTGATTTAAAATGTTTTCTTTTTGTATTTGTAGCTTAAGTTTGCGTTAAAACAAAAATATAATAGTACAGACCAAACAGTAACGTCAATAAAGTTGTTTTAGGAACCCAAAAGTAAAGCAAAAGGCAAATTAATTTTAATCCCAGGAAGTTATTCCAACATGCATTTATCTTTTCATAAAAAAAGTATACAAAAATCCCCCCAACAAAAAAAAAAAAACACCAAATAAGAAAGGATGAAATATTTTTGAAGCCTTTTAAATTATTGCTGCTAAGAAAGTTAATTTTAGTAATTTTCAAATTACTAGTATACATATAAAAACTCATGGTTGTCACTGACTAACAAAGTTTGGCTATCAAAAAATCAGTTTTATGTGATAACAAAAGCTATTATTGTTTAAATGTTTTGAAACTTGCCCCAAGTTACTTTTGTAGCTGTGGGAACTACTGTACTTACTTTGAAACAGGTATCAAAAAATGCACATTATTTGTACAAATCATTACAGTGCACGACTACAGTGCCAGTGTGCACATTATCACTCATGCACTTCACAAACACTGAAGAAGAATAAATAAATTATAGGATACATGACAGTCTTCATTTCAAACATTTTGTTAAGCGAAAGGACCAAACCCTCGTGTTCATGCTGAGGGGTTCAATTCAGTCCTAAGTGTTTGTCCAGAACAGTAAGGGCAGGTTCGCCTGCTGGGCTAATGTGCTACAGGCCACCCGCCGAATGGGTTAATGTGCACTGGTATCTGGAACCTCGGTTTTTCCCATCGATGAGCAGGAGCGGCATTTTCCGGAAGTAGTCGATAATATCTGACACAGACAGAAAGTCCTGAAAGATTGGAAACAGGGAGATAAATCAACCCTGGAGCAGTTAGCATGAATTTCACCCTCAGTTTTTTAATCTGCATAATATCCTACCTTTTGAAGTGAGGATTTTTATTTTTTTAATGTAAAATTTGACAAATGTTTTAACAATTTCTGCTGTAGGACTTTGAAAAAATGATTTCTCACCAACATCCAACAATATACTATGATGAAAGATTATATATACACTGAGTGGCCAGATTATTATGATCTCTGAACACTTAATAATCTGGCCACTCAGTGTATATGCTATATAATTAAAAGCTAATATGCAAGTTGTCCCCTCAACCAGGAGTTTGACCATCAGGCCAGCAGGCCGGCCAACTGCCCATGTCCCCTCCCCCTGGCCAAGCTGGCCAGACTCCATCCATGCATGAATTCATGGACTGGGTTTCATTCATTCATACACACACACACACACACACACACACACACAGACACACACACACACATATACATATACTGAATGACCAGATTATTGTGTTCAGAGATCATAATAATCTGGCCACTCAGTGTACATATACATATATGTATATATATGACTAATTTTTTTAAACTTCATACAGGGGATCACATATAGAGGGGTCTAATTATGATGCCTTTGCCTTTGCCTCTCTTGGTGTTTTTGATTTTGGTTTCTGAGTCCCATATCTCAATCATTAATATGTGAGGAGGTATAGGAATCATGAAGCCACTGTCCCTCGTATCTGGAGGGACATCTGCAAAATGGCACAATACTCCATTCACGATCTCTCTGCTGCCTGCCCACTGCCACCCCACACTCCCCAGGGCTCTGTAGCAAAGGCTTTGCATTCAGTGCCTGGATCACCCTATCCCGGATGGCCAGGCTGGGAAAACCCCATCCATCCTTCTAGGTGGGTCAGAAGTCACCCAGGTATCCCGACAGGACCATGCACTTCCTCTAAGACCACTCTCCTAGGCACCTCCCTCGGGGCAGCTGTGATTCAAATGTTTGTCCAAAATCATGTGGGGTGGGGGAGGTTTCCTACTCATTTACATGATTGTAACTTGAACATATTTGGAGCGAAATGGCTGTTTCTCAGTCTGGGAATGTTGGGTTCGGCTGATCCCCTGTCCTGGAACTTTGAACTTAAAGAGCATGCTGGGAGCAGTAAATTTAGCTGTTACTTTCCTTCGCAAAAAGCAGCTCTGAAAGGCTTTCCTCATAACCTGATTACCACCCAAAAAGTGACTGGTATAAACCTCGGCTGAACACAGGAAGATGTCTTCGGCAATTTGGCCACCTTCATTGGCCACACCTCCAGCTTTAGTAGGAAATGAACCAACTATCTAAATAATCACCACAACAAAAATTATCTTTTTCCCTTTCCCATTTGTTGATTTAAAAATACAGCCTTATAAATACTCTGAGATCCTACATG